ATGGACTCGAACTTTGGTAATTTGAATTCGTGGCCCACGCACTTTCATAGCCCAACGTTAAACATTCTTCTTTCAACACAGTGTTTTGTCCCTTTATTGGTAAGACACTTATTATTCCTTCCCACTTTTGTATTTTCTCCAACTGACTGAACGTAATTTTATTGATATCATGTTTACAACATAGTTCCGTATTGTTCCTTTTTTCAAAAAATGACCCTTCGTTCTTTGTTGATGTAGCACACAAAAACTATTCCCATGGAACGATTATCTATGTATGAATTCGTTTGTTCAAATGTTTTTTCCCCGAAACAACAGTCATCTGTCATTTAGCTAAGCATATGATATATATATTTTTCGATATTTTTCTTGCGAAGTCTACATCATCAAGATAAAACCAAATTCCTTTTCTATATAGCAACACACGACAGTCACACGAGATAATAGAAAATAAACACAAACAAATAAAAACTAAAAACACGTAAAATCCAACAATTAATTAAGATATACAAAAAATATATGAAGGATTTTAAACACAGTTAGTTTCGGTCAAAACCTGAACCATTGTCTGCATAACTCTCACTTTCATTTCCAAAGCCAAAATATAATCTGCCGTTTGTCTAAAGAGTCCATCCAAACCTTCTGATGTTTTGGTGTTGGGAACAAGCTCTTTCAGCGTCTTGACTCTTCTGTGTATTGCGCGGCAAGGTCTTCTAGAAGCTTCTAGACTCTTCCTCGGTCGGATCATGATCTTCTTCACAAGTGCCCTTCGAGCCCTTTGTCGTCTCATCAAAACCCAAATTGATTCCTTTCTTTGTCCTTCTAATGTTGTTACTCCCATATTATTGTAAACGAAAGAATGTTGTATAGACAAGTGATAACAACTCTTTAAAAGATGATATATTGTGATGCATGCAAATATGAGACGCCCTTAATTATAGTTTATATAGACATACAGAGAGGTTAGTGACCTTTATATATAGCTTAAAATGGAGATTACAGCTTCTGAGAAGGTTCTCCTTTTCTCTCTCAAAAGAATTGGATGAGAATTGGACAAGTGTCCTCAAGGGTGTTTTTAATGTTGTTTTTGATGGATAATTAGGGTTTAGCTTAAGTTAGAGGACATGTCATCAAAATACAACTCGATGCACATGCACTCACATGATTATCATCACTACCCAACTCTCCTACACGCTCAAAAACACCAACTTTCTTCCCATTCACATCACCTTATTACACCCTGTCTTATTCCTCCTTTGTTGCGCTTTATCGATTTATTTATTTTTATTTTATTTTACTTTCGCAGCCAATATTTTCCGAGTTTACCAAATTCGGGCGGATTGAAACTTACTAAAGAGAAAAAAAGCCGGGTGGATCAACGAAGAATGTGATTATATTTATGCGATAATATTTCTTTCTAGGTTATAGTCTAATCTAATTCACAAGCATGCAATCAGTGTATTAAGAAGCTAGCGATTGAAATAGATATAGGTTGATAAGATGAAAATGAAAAGATTCATATTATAAGTTTTTTTTTCCGCGTTTGCAAAAGTCAGAACACCTATCAAAATTCATCTTATTTTATATTTCTCCCAAAATTTGGTCTAATCCATAAACTAATTTATAAATATACAATATTAGTGTTTGAGTTTCGCTACAATGTATTTAGTTTGAATTGATCACCATTGTCGACAGAGATGATAAAATATACTTATATGACTATTTGGTTGTCATAATGCTTTTGCTTTTATTAAGTCCTTATATAGTTATATATCTCATTATTTCCAGCTGATATAAGCCGCCGGCGCAACTAATTATAAGAGTTAACGATAAACTAATGATATAAAGCATTCCCGAGTAGTTTTTAAGTGTTTTAATTTTTTGGACAAAGTAGATAACGATGTTGGATAATGGGATAAGGTCTTAATTTTAAAAGACACAAGAACATGCAATGATCTTCTATGTTCCTTTGAATTTGTGGACTTCGTATTTTGGTTTTCTTTTTTTCTATTTGTGAGTGGATTTAATCTGATTGAAGCATCTTAAAGATTATGTTCTTTGCTCGTACGTCGTTAGTTTATTCTGACGGAAACGACAAAGAAAAGCAGATTCGTGTAACGATGTTGACCAGACATCCTCGGAGACTATAGATTCACTGTATATCCCATCGGCGTCAACACGAAACATTGTACTTACAAATTCTCTAGACGTATATATATGTCTCTGATAATTGATGATTAGATAAATTGATTAAATGAGAATTAGCTTAACATTCGCATATGATTGATCAATGTATGTGTATATTATATGGGTTTCAAGGTAACGTGAAAAGTACCTAACTAATTAAGATAGGTTTGTATATATGATATAAGTAGCCATAATGGAGAGTTTAGTGGTCGAAATTGATCGCTTGTTAGCACGTTGTATGTATATTAGCTTAACGTGCATGCACATGTTCTTATATCCTCCCTATTCGTATAGGCCACCCAACACATATATATCCCAATTCAGATTTTTTTTTATTATATATTTAAACCAGAAAATTATTAAATTTTGCGGACAGTATGATCGAGTAATTATTTTTCTATATAATTGCTACGAATTTTCATTTGTTAATGCCATAATAGTTGTTTTAACCAGAAAATGGTATATGCATGAGAAGGACACTAAAACAATTAAGAAGATCATATCAGCAAAATAAAATTCGAATGTTATGTATTCCAAGAAATAGTTTAGAAATTACGATCCATGAAATGATACAAAAACATATAGTAAGTTTTTAGAAAAAAGTATGGACCAAGTAAAAGCTCAAACTTGTTTTTTTTTAAAAAATAAAAATACCAAAACATCAATTACTGTTTAAATCTTTGTTATTCAGCAAAAATATTTACGTTAATATGTAATATTCGATTATAGATATGATAGTGTAATTTAATTAACAGCAGTGTATTTAAACTATTTTTGATTTTGTCTCATAATTTAATACTTATTGGGCTAGAGGCAGAAATAACAGTTGGATTAAAGCCCATTAATAAGAGTGAGCTTGAAATGGGCCCTTTAACGTTTATGCTGTGATCCATAAATTGACACTTGGTTAAACTATTGACGATACAGATTATTTAGGTCTCTCTCTCTCGCTCGCTGATAAGGAATCTCTCTCTCTTCTTCTTCTTATACGCCGGCGAAATAAGTCTCTCTCAGGAAAAGAAGATGCGACGATTACCATTAGAAGAGTCGTATTACATGTTTTGTGCGTGACTCTAATTTAACAGGCTTATGTTTGAGATTTTTTTGACAAATCCGGATTTTGCTGTTGGATTAGATTCACGCACAAACTCGTAATCTGTCTTTTCGATTTTTACTAGATCTGTCTTCGATTTCGAATCGAGGAATCAAATCTTTGTTTAATTTTGGTTTTTGAATGATGATTATATGATTTCGATTTTGCGAATCGTAAACAAGATCTACTACATTTCTACTTTTGGAATCATTCCCTTGCGTCGATTCTCTCGTTTTCTCTATTTCCAAATTTGGTATTACTATGTTTGGTATTAGGTCGATTAAAGAGCCCATTCAATGTCAAAACAATAAAGTTATCACTCTCTATTTAATTCTGCCTATAAAAGTTTTCAATCACTCATTTCTTCATTGTCTTGCTTAATTATGTTTTAAGACTTGAGCTTAAGATTTTTTCAAGCACTCATTAATGGATTTGATTGATGCAAACGAGTTGCCGTTAATCCATTTATGTCGTGTATTAATTTCTAGAGATCAAAGGACTGTTTTCTTGTTTTTGCTTAGCATTTTCTTACGAAAGTGGTAAAGACTAAAAAGAGAGTCTCTTTCGCATAATCGTGTTCTACGATCTTAGTTTGTCGAGAAAGCAGAGCAAATCTTATTTATGTAGGTTACTTAAGATATTGTCACAGACCATAGAGATCTCTTGATGATCTAAACTTCTAAATGATGTGACCAAATTAAAACTTATGTGAACAACATTATTGAATTGTTCAATTTGACAAAGTAGGCTAAAAGCATATCACATGATCTTGATTCTTATGTTAATCATGGAGTTTATGAAAGAAAACTAGATATCTACATATTTTTTATTTGAGTTTTGGTCCTAAACATTAAAGCAAAACTAGGTCCGGACCCGCACGTACGTGTGGGGTTTATATTTTGAAATATGTGTTGTATAACATATAGTCAATACATTTTTGTTAATGTAGTATGTAAGTAAATGTTTTTTTGTTGTTTATTTTGTGAATTAGTTAATAGAATAGATACAGTATTATTAGAAACTTAAAGTGAAGATTTTTTTTGTGTGTGTGAAATAAAAATTGGTATGTTAGTTTGTTTTTCGTTTGATTGGTTTAAAAGTTTGGAAAGAAAGATTAGTAAGAATTTAGTAATTTGTGTTTGGTGAATGATTGGATATCGATGTTTGGTTTTGTTGAATTATTTAGAAAGCTGCAAAATTGGTGTGTAATATTTGTAAGACTGAATTTTGATTTTGATTTATATTGAATTTTTTCTTCTTAAACTATAAAATTATTTATTTGGTAAAACAAAATTATTGTTTGTAATCTGATGCAATGGTCATTAATGTAAACGATTAATTAAAATATAATGGCCCATGAATGGCCCATGTATGAATCACCAATCTATTTTATTTGGGCTGGAAATTCTAGAGACCCATTTACTAATAGACTTGTTTCGATCCATGGTTTCGTTTTTTTTATTTTATTTAATATATTACTTATGTTTTTTTTTCCCATTTTGGACAGATAAGATTCGAAGAAACATTCTTGGTCTTATCGTCTTCAAAGTAATCGAAACCCTACAAATCAGAAGATTGTTTGATTTTTTAATCAATGAAAAAATTGTCGATAACCAACCTAGTACGTCTCCGTATATCAAATTTCCATATCAGATTCGGGAATTCTACAAAGAGATAAGGTTTTTAGAGATTCTTCTTCAATCAATCTATTTTAAAAATCTGTCGATTCATTTTACAATCTTTGAAATTCTGTGTTTCAACAGAGATCTTGGGCAATCACTGTGAATATACGAACTTGCATGAGTAAGTATTTTCAATTATATTTGTTGTTTAGATCCAAAATTGATTGTCTATAATTTTTGTGTTTAACCGGGTAACTCAATCTATCTACATAAAAATTGAAAGCGTTGTAGTTAATAGAGATTAAAATTTGATTTTGTATAGATTTAGACAATAGATTTTGTTTCCTGAAAAGACTTCATGATTTAATTTGTTCCTAAATTAATTTCAGATAATTAGAAATATGATGATTTTGTCTGAGGAAGGACGATGTACAAAGTTAAGTTTTCTATTACGGCTCTTACCTAACAAAAGAGTGTTTAAATATATATGGTGCTGATTATACAAAATTCAATGTTTACAGAAAAGGCAAAATATTCGAGTTTTATTCTTTTAGAGAAGGCAAATTTGATGTCCTTTATAAGCCATAATAGAATCTGGAAGCAATGTTAAAGGTTAGTGAGTTGTTAAGGATTCAAATTTGGTTTAATCCATAATAATATTTAGCTATTGTCACTCTTTATGAATTAGAAGAATTGTTATTAAAACATTGTTTTGTCATTGTATTTTTTCAAAATTGATAAAAGTACCCTGGAAATGGAAAACAAATCACGATTATTTGAAACTAAGAATGATATAGTTACTTACAGCTATATCAGTAAGAATCATTTCCACTGTTTCCCCTATGTATTGAGTGTATTGAGTCCACGAATGCACAGTTTTGACTTGAATTCTCCATTGTGTTTTGAAAGGCTTGATGTCAGCAAGATCGGTGAATGCTACAATAGCTGCCATTTTGTTAGAGGGATCGTGAAGAGAACAGTTTAAACAATGGAAATGTGAGTTTTTCTGAATTGTAAACCCTATATTTATAGTTATGAAAGTCGTCTATAATTTTTCTAAGGTTTAGAGAATTACGGGTGAAGAGGATTAAATCTATTAGAATATTTAAGGTATATGCTTGATTTTATTCGATTTTTTGTAATACGATAATGATTTTTTGAGTTGAATTTATTGATTAATGTGGATTTGAAAAGATTTTATCACTTTAAATATAAACTAAATCAAGGAGATATAATCTCGAAGGATTAGTTATCAGTTGATTAGGTGAATATGCGGAATTGAGATTGCATAGATTATTCCGTGATTTTTTTCATTATAATTCGCATTTATAGTTTTAGTTGTTATGGAATGTTTTGATTTGCGTTTTGGTCCTAAACATTAAAGCAAAATATCAGACAGTGTGTTTTTAGAGTACTAAAAGACAAAGACTGTTTAATTTTGGATCAAACAAGAAGAAGATAGTTTAACAAGTAAATCATATACTAGATTGTTGTTTACCTGTTTCTTCTAATGCTAACAAATTATTACAAGTAGAAGATTTATTTAATATATTGGGCTATGAGGCCTATTAATCCAATTATATTTGTAAAATAAATATAGGCCCCTCAAAAAAAACAGTGTGTGTATATGAATCGAAAAAGACCTTAATTCTCAGAGATTTATAAATCTTGGGAAAATTCTGACCAAATCTGTTTCCCTCTCTTTATCTCTCCTTGTGTTGCGTATTCCTCAGACTGATTCTCTAAGCCGTGTCCGTGTGCCAGTGTCTGCCCTTGTTTTATTATCACTGCCGCAGTTCCTATTCTTGCCCGCCAACTGTTCGTCAAATTGCCTGAACCAATTTCATAGTAAGTTTTGTTCTTCCCAAAAGTTTGGATTTTGGGGATTCTGGGTTTTATTCAAACTACTCCTCCGAGATATCAAGAATGGCTACTACTTCGAATGGAAACTCTAAGAAAAGAGATGGTGGTTTATCGTCGCTTGCCCCTCGCAAAATCAACGTCCAGAAATTCTCAGAGGCTCGAGCAGCGGAGCTCGAATCTCTTCACTCCATTGTGTCTGAACGTTTGAACAAGGACTTTCGATCAAAGAGGAATAAGAGGAGAAGGACCAATTCTTACAATAATCAACCTGCAAAGAAGCGTTATATACAGAGGCAGAAATCAGAGTCATTGATTGGTCAAGTATCAGGAGGAGGAGACCATGAAACAAAGATCACTAGACGAGTTAAGAGAAGAATGGAACTTAAAGGGAACCCTCAATCTGGTTTTTGTACTTCTGGTGATGGGACAAAGAGGCTGAGAACACATGTTTGGCATGCTAAACGATTTACGATGACTAAGCTTTGGGGCTTTCACCTTCCTCTTGGTTTACATGGAAGGTAAATTTCAAATTTTCAGTGTTGTTGCTTCTGATAAGTTACAACAAAGTTTGAGCCTTTTCAAATCTTAAGGTTGTTTTTGTCATGCTTCTAGAGGAAGGGGATCTAGGGATGTCTTGAAGCAATCTAGGCAAGGTGTTCTTCTTCATGATGCAAGCTATCACATTGCTGTGCAATTGGAGGGTCCAGAGGCAGGCATTTTCTTTATTCTTGATATTCTTCATTAAATTGCTTTAATATTTTCTTGATCTCTTTTGCCTTTGAATTTCTCAGGGCTCACTCTTGTCGATATTAAATATGCTACTAGAGCCTTCTCCTTCATCTCATTCCAAGGAAGTTTTTGACTCTATTCTCACAGGCCGTAGTTATGAAAACGCCATGGTATAGTGGATATATGAATTTCTCTTTTCTAAACAGGAAACGAGACGACAACTTAAGCATGATGTAACCGTAAGTTTTTCTGTTTTGTCTCCAGCTTTATCATCTCGAACCACCAGTTTCTCAGGCGATTGCTCCTGTAACTTATATGTGGAGACCTTCTCAGATACCAAAGAGAAGAGATGAGGAGAAAGGAGGGGACGGCATAGGAACTGATCGCCCAGTCTCAGATAGAGATTATGTAGACTTTCGAAAACTTTGGGTGTGGATCCATGCTTCTTCCTTCACTGAAGGATATGCTATTCTTAAAGTAGCTTGTCAGAAACAGGTAGTTATTTGTTGTTTCTTGAGGTTACTTTTAGGTGCACTAGCTGTCATTTGTTGTTAGCGTCATGCTTTACATATTCTTGTGGAGATAATGACACCTACAGCTCTTTCATTCAGATGAATGAGACAGGTGTCTCAGTTGATTGCTTTTCACTCGAGGGCCAGCTTGCAAAACTTGAGATTTTTGGTCCAAAAGCATCTCATCTTCTCCAGAAGACCCTACATCCTGCTACAAGGTGAGCCATCTGAGTATATATAGAATGTTTGCAAATGAACAAAGGAAGATTTATCTCAGTTTTTTTTTTTTTTTTGCTTTGCAGTAGCTCAGAGGATACCTCTATTTCTAAAATGTGTTCAATGGAAAAAGCTGAGGTTAAAAACGTTGCTGATCCTTACAAAGAAGAGAACGTATCATCTGGCGCTATTTTAGCACAGTTTGTCATAGATCGCGCGGTTAATCCTGAATAGT